GTGAGGCACTGTGCAGGGCAACTAGGAAGTGTGTTCTGGACTCTATTTCAACACTTAATTGACAGTCACACCGTCCCCCAGCTGTGGAAACACTCCACAGTCATCCCCATCCCCAAAAGAAACAACCCAAAGTCTCTGAATGATCTTCGTCCTGTGGCCCTCACCTCCCTGGTGATGAAGGCCATGGAGAAGATCATAAAACAGCACATCGTAAGAGCAACTGACCCCCTGATGGACCCACTCCAGTTTGCTTACCGTGCACGCAGAGGCGTCGATGATGCAAAAATCTTCATCTTGGACTCCATCCACAAACATCTGGAGCTCCCTGACTCGCTCTGCCAGACTTCTGTTTGCTGATTTATTCATGAGTCAGTAAAGTGATTCTCGAGTATTGAACGATTCGTTCATGATTCGCGCATCACTAGTACAAATACCTGGGAACCATCTTTGACAACCTCCTGAAATTCTCTGCCAACACTGAGGAGAATCTCAAGAGGTGCCACCAACAGCTATACGTCCTTGGGAAACTCAACTCCTTTGGAGTCAGCACACCCATCATGATGACTTTTCCTATGCCTTCCTGGAAAGCATCATGACCTCCATCACCTGCTGGTTCCCCTCCATCAGCCTTCATACAGGAACAGACTGCAGCACACGGCATCAGTGTGCTCTAAAATCATTGGCCTGTCAGAACTCTGGCACAGGTTTTCAGCAACAGGGCCTTAGGATATGTCCACACTAGCCTGGATAGATTTGAAAACAGTGTTTTTGCCTGAAAACGCTCCGCGTCCACACTAGCGTTTTCAGTCATTTTCACAGAGTTGTGCGTCCACACTGAAATGGCCGAAAATGCTTACATTCCAGTCCTGCGCATGTGTGAAACTCAAGAAGATTTGGCCTGCCTCATTTCTGTCTGCAGCTTATTTTCTTTCCAGCTCGTTTAAAGGTTGTGGCAAAAGGTCGAGGAAAAGCACCGAGTTTTTTTAAATGGACTAACAATGAGGTGGAGTTGTTGCTGCGAGTAACACAAAAGTACAAAGTTGCAAAATCGAGTGAGAATTAAAGAATTTGAAGAAAAGCTCTCTGGAGCGCGTACAGACTGATATTAATCTTTAACAGGGCTGTCAGACACAACAACTGCTGTACAATGCCCTCCACTATCTTTGTTTAATTTGTCACATGACTGGATCGCATGACTAAATTGTGTCATCGTTTTCAAAAATCTCAGTTTTCACTGTCCACACTGCGACGCAAACTCACCGTCTTTAAATGTGTGCGTTTTCGAGAGCTGCGTTTTTCCTTGGGGAAAGTGTGGA